TTCGATTAAGTATCCTCTATTTCTGCGTTCCTCCAGAGTTGTCAGATTAAGAGCTTTCAGTCGTTCTTCATAAGACAATTCTCTTAAAGATGGTGGAATTTTGGTTGCCCTCCTCCTCTTTCTGAAATAGGGTCACCAAACCACAACAGCATGCTTCAGCAGTGGTCTGATGTAGGTTTTGTATGCTCGGAAAAACACTTCAGGGGACATTTCCCTGAAACAGCGTCGTATCAGATGGACTTGAGTTGAGTTGGCTTGCTTCACGATTGCATATATATGCTGTTCCCATTTTAGGTCATGTGAGATATTTACTCCTAAGTCGGTCTGCTCAGTAACCCTTCCCAAGTTGTTATTGCCCATATGGTAGTACAGCATAGGATTGCTGTATTTAATGTGCAACACACAACATTTGCTGACATTAAGTTTCAATAACCAGTCCTTTGTCCACCTATCCAGCAGACGTAATACTTGTCACATCTGATACCAAGAATAAGTCAAGTAATGAGGGAACAGTACCCTTCCGAAAACGAGTATTAAACTCGATTAACTGATGCAGTCTTGATTCCTGGTAGGCCAGTAAAAATTCTTCAGCAGGATCACTACGTTAGTCACTTTACCGGTGGACCTATCTATTTCAGGATAATTGAAATCACCATAAATTATTGTGTTAAAAAAATCGTTTAGCCTGTGTAGCATATCCACAATCAAGTTGTTATCCTCAGACAAACATAAAGGAGGTCGGTAAATACACCCCACCAGCAGCCGAACAGCACCAAACTTCAGGTCGACAAAAACACTATCCACCACAGTTTGCCCAACAATAAATTCTTCTTGCCTTATACACAGGAGACTTGATGGCCCTGGATACAATTTTTGATATAGATACCCACCCGTCCATCTTTCTTTATTTGCCCATGGACATTTATGGTTGTGCGATCCTTTCTGAATAATGTGTAGCCATGTATACCAATCAAAGAGTCTGGTATGTGTGTGTTCAATCATGTTTCAGTGATAAAAATTAAGTCTGGCTTTTTGTCTAGAATTTCAATGACAAATTCATCAAACTTGGACATGATAGAGCATAAATTGGTACACAACATTAACATGGAGGAGTAGGTTTGGGCATTTAGTTTTTAGAGTGGTCAGTATTAAGGCCATGTACCCCAGATGGTCTTACCTTAATTATTTTTGGAAGACCACTGAAGTATTTAATTTTAAGGTTATCTTCCCCTTGGTTAACTCTTTCTTGCAGTTTTCTGCAGTTTCTTGCAGGCTTGTGCAGTTTTACTTTCTCCTTCTTCTTCAATTGAATCTTCAGTGAACTCTTGTTTTTCCTCATTTGCTTGCTCGTTATCTTGTTCAATTGTTACTCTGTCGTCATTTATTTTCAATTCATTAAAGATAACATTTCTTGAGGATACTATTTTATTTTCTAATGAGTTCCATAGTCTATAACATTTATCAGTATAGCCAATCATAATCATTTTTTTGGCTTCTCGGTCCTCTTTAGGAATCAGTTTGTGAGCTTCGCAACCAAACAACTTTATCTCATCCATGTTTGGCTTATATCCATACCATACCTCAGCAAGCAGTTTCTGATTGGCCTGGGTTGAAGTTTCTGTTCTCTCTGTCACTTTTAATGTCCCTCGTATCAAAATCAACATAGAAATCAAGAACCAAACTTAACACAAAATCATGAATAAACTTAACACTAAATTGCTAAGCATAAATATTTTCTTGCTTTAAAAGTTCATTGAAACTATTATGTTCACCACTGTGTGTCAAAGAAGTCGAATTTTGACGCATTACGGGGGATGTTTATAAGGTGTGTGCCAATTGCAATGATTCTCACTGTACTCTAGTTTTACCAAATGATGTGTGCGCCACTGTCCACTACAAAGCTAATTTTATTTGAACTTGGTTCATACCTCATTAAACTTTTATGAAATTTCTCATGCGTCTCGCCAGTCAAACATAATATTTCATCTTCTGTTTCATCATTATCATGGCTTTGATTAGGCTTTCAACCATATTTGCGTACTTTCTTCTGTAATTTACTTGGAAATAGCTATTTGTAGGATAAAATCTCCTCCTATGTCAAACCTCGTCACACAAATGACGATTGAAAGGAAAATATCTATCTTTATTTGCATTTCCAAAATTCTTGTTGAAGCTTTTATTTCTATAACTGGATGCAAACGCAGCATGCTTTGGTTCAAGTTCCACATTTTTCGTTTTTCGACTTTCTTCAATCAAAAGTTTATTTTTGACTCAACATTCCTAAAGTTACTAGGTTGCTGGTGATGGGTAATTTGATGACGCATCTTGGGTGCCTCATGAAGAATTGTATTATGTTTGGGCATACAGATGACGTCATAAAAGTTATCAGGCAACCTTCTTCTTTAAAACAACCTTGGTCCAGGCTCACCTTTGCTTTGATTCATCCTGGCAAAACATTACATCAATAGCTGTTACTGCTTGGAAACTGTCTGGCATCTTTGTCATCTACATTTCCACCAGCAGCTTTTATTTGACTTACTCCGTTTGATCAAAATCAGTAAAGAATGTACAGCCGTGAGCATAGAAAGTGGGACACCCGACTCATAGAATACCCGACTGACAGGTCTTTTCTCTACAATGGATTTTTTTGTCAAGTACGACAATCCCTGTCACTGCCGTAGGGTAGGTATAGCTGGTGAGTTCGTTTTACAATAGGAAGAATCGGGTGTCCCATTATCCATAAATTTCATTATTTTCATTGACCTTCGAATTTTCACTCCTAAACAAGTACGACGCAAACTTCCGCGACTAACACGTGAACTGGGCCCATAACCTATTGAACTATGAGGTCATGAGTGCTTATCTTTTATATATTTATTTTGAAAACTTGACATCCGAAAACGTCGAGCCAACAACCAACAAATCCGTTGACATTTTCTACTGTCAGTTCTATCACATCTTACCCTAAAAAACTTATATATAAATTAAATAAATTATGAGACTGTGACTTTGTTTTTTGTTATCTTCAAAAATCTTGCCTTTGGTCTCTTGTATAAAAATGGATGATGTCTTTTTCTTTACTGGTGGCTGACAAGTTGTTCGCACATACTTGCACCGTACTGCACTTAAAAACTACAACACAGAAATGTATTCCAATACCGAGCTTCACATCAAATCTTGATTACCTTGCCAAAATGTCACAAGGAATAATCATCGAGATCGAATTATTTCAAGATTGATACCAATGCATTGACATCGATTATCCAGGACCGTTTCACGAAAAAAAAATATATTTTAATAACAGTGGATGAATGCTCACTTTATCCAATAATTGAGGTGGTAAACTCCACTTGATTTACAGCTCTAAAGCCTGTTCTTGACAAGTTATTTGCTACTGGGGTAGAATAATGGACCACCATTCAATGATCAAGAAATTCCTGCAAAATTATGGCATGGAGCATATCAGAATAACACCAGCATGGCCAGAGCATAGATGCTGTGAAATCTGTGAGAACGATCAAGAAATCTCTGTTGTGCTCCCACATTGAAAATGGTCAATTTTGACTTAGAAGTACAAGAGTTTTTGATCAATTACAAAAGTACACCACATTCAACAGCTGAAAAATCCATTTGAGATCATTTTTGGTAGAAAAATGAACAATTTTTCTTCTACAATACAACATTCAAAACCAACTGAGGACATCCGACAGAGAATAAGCTCAAACAAAAAGTATATGCTGACAACAATCATTTAGTCTTACATGCAAACAAATCAAGTTCTTTTGATAACTCCTTATTTTGATCCAAGACCAATGGAAATTGTGTAACTCATGGGTACAACAATAAAAGCAATGAGAGACAACTATTTCATAATTCGAAATGCATCATTCTTGAAAAAAAAATTAAATCCTTCTGATCACCAAGTGAGTAGAAAAGCAAGAAGTTATTCCACAGCAGCCTCAAACTCAGAGGCAAGTCAAGACCACTACATTTCATTGGAAATTGGTCGAGTATCTTCCACTTCGGTTCGTACCTTCACTGCCACCAATACCTGTTTCTGGATTTAGTTAACCCGAAGACAGCAATACTTGAGTCTGATGATCCAGTCAAGTATGTATATCTCCATTGTTCAATAACTCTTAGAATAAGACTGAAGTGTCATTTCAATCAAGTAGATAGATGTGGGACTTTGTTGAATGCCTTCTCATAATGGGGATAGATCACATTTGTGGTTTGAGAATTATCATAGTTGTCTGTCCAGTTTTGAAAACATTCAACTAAATTTGTTGTTGTAGTACGTTTAGACAGAAATCCGTGTTGTGAGGGTGATATTAGATTTAAAAAATGTTTTTAGTTTCCTAACAATTTTCTTTTTTATGCGTTTCAGTGGATTTGCATGTTAGACTGATAGGCCTATAGTTTTCTGGTCTATGTCGATCACCATTTTTGAATAGTGGAGTCACTATCGATTTTTTCCATTGCTGTGGAATTTTTCCAAATGTTGAACACTCCTGCATAGCCTCAGCTAGTCCAAAACTAATCGATTCGCCACAGTTCTGCAGTACTATCGTAGGTATTTCATCTGGACTTGGACTTGATTTTTTTTTCATACTTTTTACTTAAGACTTCTTTGACTTTTTCTTCATTAAAAGTATCTATATAAAATTCAAATGAAAGACATTATTCCATAGTGTCGTTTCTTAAACAGAGAAGAAAATACAAAAAAAAAGTAACATATATGCCTTAAAATTCCTTTACGGCTCCAATTGTTGAATACCGCTGATCATAAAGTACTTGTCAACCCCCCCGAACTATCGCGCGTCATTATCGCGAAAAAAAAAAACAGCCCCTTCCCCCTTTTAACAGAAGAAGCAACCAGTGCCATGCAACACTCTGCCCCCCTCAAACAGCGCAACAGCGCTTTCCCTCTTGCCCCGTCTCGGCCAAAACTCGCGACCCTTATATAAAAGCTCTGGCGCTCCGTAAAGGGGCGCACAACCAAACCACGAGGGGTTGACGACGCTACCTTTAGTTTAGTTCTCTCTTCGTTTTTCCTATATTCACGCTGTCGCTCTGTCTATCTGTCTCTGTCGTACACACCAAATACACACGCGTCGCGCGATTTTTACGAACTTTTTGAACCGTTAACTCGGTTTTTTCCAATTTCATTTTTCCCTTCTCGTTTCCAAGTTAAAAACATGACTAACAATAATACAAGAAAATATTGACAAAACAAAAACAGTGCGCGAAGTGCGATAACCGAAAAGAAAAAAAAAAATTAGTTCAAAGACGACCAAATGTCTGAAGATGCCCCGGTGCTTGATGGCAAAAAAGTGGAAGTCGTACCCGTGGGCCGACAGGGAACCCACCAAGGAGGCGCCCGAGGAGGAAGAGGAGATTATCGATGTTGTCGGAGACTCGCAGGGTGCCTGTTGGGGTCCCTCGAGTCCTACGGAGGGTGCCACGGCACCCTCTCCGCCTCCCGGCAGTCCTAGTGGTACGACGATACTTTATAATGGTAAGTTAATCATCTTGTTTTGATTTTGATGATTTATTAAGTACTTATAATTGATTGGTCAATTAATGACAGTTGCTTACAATAATTAGCCACTTAACGCTTCATTTTTTATCAATTTTACTCGAAGTTTTTGTACAATTTACGTATTTGAAGGGAATTTTGATTTTTTTGGAAAACAATAATCAAAGATGCTTTATATCGATTTTGTGAAATCACAATTCTTGAACCAACTCTAGGAACTTCTAAACCAATGAGGTTGAAAATTTCATTCATATGTCAACTATTCATATTAGGAAAATATTTCTGAGTATACAGGGTGGTCCAAATAAACGTGACTGTATAAAAGTAGTTTTTTTTTTTAATGGGACATCCTATATTTCTTGCATATTTGAGTTCACCTTAGTTCATGTATCAAAACCCAAAACTTTACCTAATTTGTTCCAGTATTTTAGGAAAATATTTTTCTAATAAAATGTAAGGACAATTTTTGACTCCATATAAAGTATAGGAGTGAGTCAAAAAAGGTCCAAAGTTACTGTGAGCCTATCCACGTTTGAACAAATATGTGCAGGGTATTCAAAATTATCGTCAAAATATGACATATTTCTGATGAACTTACATTGGGTAAGTAGTCATTAAAACACTGTTAAACACACTTCTTGGATCAGGTTTTTATTGGAGAAACTATTAAAAGAAGAAGTATTTTAGTTTTAAAATCAACTAAGATTATACTAATGTGACTAATCTACTTAACACTTAGACAAACCTAAGTCTAACACAAAACTTGCATGAAAGTTTTGTGAAGATATCAGCAATTTGATTAGCTGTTTTAACATGCTCTATCTTTATCAAACCCACATCTACCTAATATATAAATGCTTCAACCTTCTACTGCTTTCGGGATTGTTGGCAATTTTAATGGCAGATTGATTGACTATCTTCAAAAATAGTTATAGGATTTCTGATATTAAAACAACTGAAATCATGAATGACCTTTCTCAGCCTACTGCAACTGTCAGTGCTACATATTCAGATTATTCTGTTAAGAAAATTGATACAATTTATTGGTATCTGGTACCCCACAAAACAGTATAGTCGAAAAACTTGAATATAAAACCTGTTGTGGATTTCCTATCTGTAGCATCTCCTCTCCAATCGGAATCAACATATCCTAAAATTTCCGTAAAACCTATCAATTTTAAACATTTACCTAAAATCTAATGTCCCTTTAACATTAATACATAAGTTATAAGTGTGTCCTGAAGCCTACTCAACAAATTCACACTTTGACACAAATCTGGTCTTGTTCCAGACACTGCATACAACAAACTACCAATAATCTGCCTGCACTTTCTGATCAGATCCTTATAAATTACTTCATTTTTCAGCACAAAAAGTGCTCATTGGATTACAACATACCATATTTTTCTAAAATGTTCTCAAAATAAACACACTGATCCAGTTCCAGTTCCAGATACCCTTCTTTTATGTTATGATTTTCTCTCATTCCTATATAGTTTGAGACCATGCCAAGCCAAGATCTTTCATTGCAAAATTACTATGCAGAATAGCTTTTAAATTTTCGACATCTGTTTTATTTGTCTCCAAGATCAGAACATCATTCATAAATAGCCTGTTTTCTTCAGTAGTTTCGCAATACAGACAAAAATCGTTTTGTGACCTGACCTAACAAAACATTCACATGTATTCCAGCATTTTGGAGATTTTTTCAGAACATAAATGAATTTGTTCAATTTGCATACTGTATCTGAATTGATTATAGTTTTACCTGGTAGCGACATATAAATTTCATCAGTGATTCCACCATACAAGAAGGCACCTTGAACATCCATTTGATAAACTGGCACCCTTAACTTTAAAGCTATATCTAATAAAATTCTGAAAGTGCATAATTTTCCAACATATCATAGCCATTACTTGTTGGAAGCCACGAGCCATAAGTCTTGCTTCAAACTGACTATTAGATTTAACTTTAAATACCCACCTAATCTAAATACCTTTTTATATAATCTGGCCATGGCCATGGTACTTCAATCCATGTATTATTTTCCAGGAGTACCGCCATTTCTTGCTCAATAGCTTCTTTCCATTTCTGAGATTTATCCCCATGAACAGCTTCCTCATAAGACATTAGGCGATTTCGGCAAGCTTTGGTACCATGTTTGGTCTGTCAAATGCATACCAACCAATTTCGGATACGAAAATGATGACGTCACCGTGACTTCGGTACCTTTTTTGGTCTATCAAATATAATACCGTGGTCAGCAGCACGGGCCTTCTTGTTTGGTATAGTGCTATCTACGTCTATATTTTCGTTTTTTTCTACTCTGGAAACGTGAATAAATGGAAGTTCGTTAGAATTTCAGATTTTTAAACAAATGTGTTTGTTTTTTTCGGCTTCATCTTCCTGTTTTCTTGTATATTCTGACTGCCAAACAATTCCTAACGATCATTTGAAAAATGGCTTTGAACGACAGATATAGAGAAACTTTTTTGCTAAATGGAATAAGCTTCAGATACATTTACAGAAAACGCGTAGTTAGCCAATAGGTTACTCAACGGTAAATATTTCTTTTCAGCTTTTCTTTTAGACATTGCAAAAGAACACAACCCAGAACCACAGAAGAAAGAAACACGAAAGAATGTTTTTTAACCACGACACAAAGACTAAAATACAACGAACAACAAAACATTAGGTTGAAGCTCGTCTCTTCCCCCTCTCTCATGACCTACCAAACGAATTCGGAAGAAAATGGTATCTTACGTCATCACTATATGACGTTGCAGGTACCAATTGGTTAACCAAATGGTATACCAACCAAAGCTTGCCGAAATCGCCTATTGGTTCTTCAATCTGTGTGAAGAAACTGGTATTTGTTTCATTATCTTGCAACCTAGTTGGCTTTTGAATTATTCCTCCTCTTCTTTTATTATTTATATATTCTTCAACAATAAAGTCATTTAAAGTTTCACATAGTTTACCTGAATCCAGAGCTGGGACCTCGTCTATATTGTTCTCTGGATTCTAATACTGTCTGGTCCAAGTCTTTCACATTTGACGTACCACCACTTGGATCTTCACTATAAATTTGCTTTGGAATGCCCATCATAATTTCCCAGCTATCATCGTTTCTCTTTATGTCTAGATTCACTATATTTTCTATGACTAGGTTATCTTCTTTATCTCTGGATAAACTTGAGGTAAAACTATTAAATCTCAATGTATTTCTACCCGTCTTAGATGCGGAATGTACATCCTATAGCCTTTTTGTTTCATCGCTATAGCCTACCAACACTCCTTGGGTCAAACTTCAACCTCTTTTCTTTGGGCACAAAGACAGCTACTGAAGCACCAAATAATTTCAATAACGATATGTCAAAGGTTCTTTTAAACCACCTTCAGCTACTGGGTTTAGGATGAAAACGACTGTATTAATAGCCTTTGCTCAATACTTTTTCACTAGCTTTTTAGCATGTAGCATGAGGTCTGTTCCAATACAGCAGGAAACCGTACAATGTACCGTCACGATTCTGCGCAAAGCGTAAAATTTGTGCGTAAAAACCTAAATTCGTTCGTTGAGTGGTTTCGAAACCGTTCATAGGACGGTTTTTGACGTGTTGGAACAGACCCATGGTCCTCGCTGCTTCCACTAAAGTCCCTATTTCCCTTGTAGCTCTGCCATTTTGTTGGAAAGTGTCAGCACAGGACCTCCCATGTCTGATGCCATTTCTAGACAATATATCTTCCAGCGCGTTATTTACAAACTCTAGCCCATTGTCAATCTTTAGGGTCATCATCTTGTTCCCTGTTTGGGTTTCCATGTACTTCAAGAAAGAAGCAATCCTATTTTTGGTTTCCGACTTGTGCATCGTAAAATAAATAACCCTGCAGTTTAAAAAAGCATCATTCAATATAGAAGAAAATATTTGGACTTACCTATGGAGTCTACCCCAAAAAGTCCACAAAGATCTGCATGGACCAGCTGACCGATTTTCTGAGCGGTAGAATCATTGGTGCTGAAGGACTCTCTATGCTTTTAAGCCTTAATACAATTTACACAAAAAACGATAAGTATCTATATAATCGCCCTGTAAATACAAATAATAAAATATGCAACATCACCATCACCACTTGATGGTTTACCAGTTTAGTACGATGTTATTATTAATAGACACGTATTGTTGACATCCTACAAATATAAAAGATTCCTAAAACAAGCAAAAACTAGCATATACATGTCACGAAGAGAGGTAAAGCTCTTCCAGAGATACAGAATTCTATTTGCTCGAAAGTAAACTAGAATAAACTATGCAAGTATAAGGATCAAGAAAAGAATCAATAGGGGATATGCGAAAAATCAACAATGGCAACAATGTCTCCAAAACATATCACAGAAATTTTAGCAAGCATAAAGGAAAAATCAAGACTAAGGACATATTCAAAGATTTCCCAGATCAAAACAGGCTGAGAAGCACAGAGGAAGTAATGAAATTGGTCAAAACCAGGGAACGTCCTGAGCACCCCAAAAAAGTACTCCATAATAGGTTTGTTCCAACACGTCAAAAACCGTCTCATGAACGGCTTCGAAACCGCACTCTGTATACGAATTTCGGGTTATTCGCACAAATTTTTGGCTTTGCGCAGAATCGTGACGGTGCATTGTATGGTTTTCTGGTGTGTTGGGACAAAGCTTATATATTTCATCTCAACTATAGTTAAAGCAGAACAAAGGAATTACGAGGGACATCCTGAACAGGTTTCGAGTCATGGAAAGGACTACAAAAACCTGCAAATAAAATATACACCACAGTTCCCGGCAACAGAATCACATACGGGTTGATGCTGAAAAAAAAAGGCAAACGAGAAAATAACGGAACCAAAACTATTAGATCGCCTTATGGAACTAAGAGGAGAAATAAGACAAGATAGAGAGACCCACTATGCCTCAGAACAGATATGATATCAAACAGAGATACAT